ATACTGTTAGCTAATCTGTAGATGGCAACAAAGTGTCATTGCTAAAGGACATCCTTTTGAACAGAGAATTAAATAGAGTGCAAGATGACAACTAAAAAAAGTCCTGGCTTCTCTTATTTGGTTCAACTCATAAAATAAGGCTTTTCGTGCTGTGTAAGTAGGAGAAGCTGTTTTAAAAAGAATAAATGTTGTTTTTAGTTACATACAATATGTATTACGTAAAGTTGGGACTCCATAGCCATTCTAGCTTTCCATAAACTTAGTATAACGATTTGAGATTTGATTGTGTTTCAGTTTTGTTTCAACACAATTCCTCTCCCTCTCCCTCTCCCTCTCTATATATATATATTCTGGTTTTCTGAAGCATATTTTAGATTTTGATTGTTGTACTGGGATTAGCAGGGTCTTTGATAAATGTAGGCTTCTTCAAACTATATGTTCAATAGCTTTATAAAGATTGACTCCAAAGTTTGAATTGCTTCATTTCATTTTGTTTTGCAACTGATATATTTTTGTTTAAAGGTGAGAAATTTTGTTGTGATTAACAAGCACTTTGAGTACATGGAAATAAGCAACATTAAAAAGGCTGGCCTTGTAAAATTTTTAGACTATAATCACAGATTTTCTCATTACAGTATAGATGAAGTCGCAAAGCAGAGAATAGCTGTCTTTTGAGCTTTCAAACAGCAGAGATCAGCAAAGTATATGTTAATCATAACTGCTTCAACAATTTCATTAATTATATTTTTGTTTTTAGAAGAAGCCCTCATAAAGCAATTTACAATAAATATTTAACAGAATACTATGAAGGAAAAATAAAAAAACATCAAATTCAAACAGCCCACAGAGCACAATTAAATTAGGGTGCAGAGAACGATCTAGGGCACATAGAGGGTCAATTGGAAGAGGCAGCCTTTCAGTTAATTTGGTTTTAATTCTATAGTAACAACTGCCTCATTGGTCTCCCATAGAACCATGGAGAGCAAGAAACTTTTATGATGTTTCACTTCTAGTTTGAGGCTTTTATAAAACATTCTTTTTATAATGCATACTACAGGTTGGATATTATTTATCTGGAAATTTGAAATGCTCCAAAATATTATTTTTCACATAGGGGAATCAGACAGTGACACCTTTGCTTTCCGATGGTTCAGTGTACACAAACTTTTTTCATGCAGATAAAAATATATTAAGAATTGTATAAAATTATTTTCAGAGTATTTACATAAAGTGTGGTTGTAGTATAGTAGTTTTGAGCATTGGACTATCATTCTGGAGACTAGACTCAGCTATGGGTGAACCTGGATGAGCTACATATTGTCAGTTCCAGAAAACCCTGTGATAATTTTGCATTAGAGTCACCATAATTGAGAAATAAGTTAGAGGCATGCAACAACAACAACAGCAATAATTGGTTGGTGCAGGACTTCTTCTGGTGCAGTAAATGCAATACCTATTGAACTCATTTGTAGAGGAAGGGTAATTGTAACAGTAATAATAAACTATAAGGATATATAATCCCATCCAACTTGATGCCGCATTTGGAATGCATCTGTAAAGCATATTAGGATTGTAATTCCATCTGACTAGATGATTTAGGGGGATAAATTTGGTTATTTGTCTTGTACACTGTAAGTTTGATTTAACATTGCTACTAAGAAGTCAACTGAAGATTTGAAACAGTTTTTTGATGCAGTGATTCCTAATTGGAAAGGAAGCCTACGAGCATTGTAATGGGTTAGGTGGAAGATGTGGTAGCTGATTATACCACCTTCATTAATTGTGAGTGGAGAAAAGGAGCACTGTTTGTAAACATATTTGAAATTCATAAATAAATATTTACAGACTCATGCACTTTATTCTGGAAGCTTAAATCCCACTGGGCACAATATTACAGTTATTATTAAGTAGAACTGGTTGGAGAAGGAAGACAGCCTTCCTTGCTCTCTTTCCTCTTCTTTCTTTTCTTCTCTATTCTTTTTCCTTATCCTTAGAAGAAAGCACTGTTGACATTAACAAAAGAAACAAGTTACGTTGTTTGGAATTTTTTCAAAGAAAGAAAGTCTCATGTTGTTTAATAGCATGTTGTCTAGGACAAGGGGCCTGGTCTCACCCAACTGCTAATGTAGGCTTGAACTCAGAGAAATGCCAAAACATCCTTCTAATTACCTAGAGAAAATATACAATGGGAAAAAGAAGCTTATTTATTTCTCAAAACCAGACATACATGCCTACTTTATTCTAAACTGTAGTGTATTCAAATATAGTACTCATAAGTCATACCTTTATTATAATAATAAACTGGCTTATATAATTAAAAAGTAAACAACAAACTGCAGGTACACACAGTAATAAAACATAACTGTTTTCAGTGGGAGGTAATGATTATTGTAATTAATTTTAACCAACTGATTTCTTATAGAGCATTCTGGGCTATATTCAATGCTGCATTCATCAGTTTTATTCTGAAAATATTCTGTGTCTGTCTTTTTCTTCCACTCATATTGATATATTTCAAAGAAAAAGGATACAAGGAAGAAGTGTTCCTATAATATGTATATTATTAATTGATTTGATAAATAAATAAATAAATAGAGACCTTTGTAAGTAAGATGGAACATATGCAATGCCAGTACATCAAAATGTTCTTCTGCGTTAATAATTTGTTTGTTGTATTGCCATTATTTTTCCATTACAACCCGTTGTGGAAATTTTAAAGTGGATATGTTCTGATGCTCAAACTTCATTTTGTTTGTATATGAATGTTTCACAGACTGAAGCAATCATTTGGAGAACAATGGATAAAGGAAGAAGTAGTAAAGGTCAGCTAATGAGTGAAAAGTAACATTGCTCCTTAGCTGCAAATATCTCTTTAGCTGTGAGATGCATATGGAATAAATGGAATTACTTGGTAATATAGCACTTGTCAGCCTTACGTGTCATATTTCTTTTTAAAAACATTTTTCATTAAGTCTTAACATGAGCAATCTAATCTCCAATTGAAGTACTATACATTCAAAAATAAAGATAATGAAGAAAAAGGGAGGGGGTGGAGGAGACAAAAGATACTTAACCATAGATAATTAGGCTTGGAAACTCCACCCCCACCCGCAAACTATAAGGGAAAAAAATCTACCATTGTCATTAGATATCCAATTAAAATTATGGTTTAGAATTAATTTGGCATTTGGACTAACTCAGCAACCTTAATAATCCATTGTAAATACTTCAGTACATTTCCAATTTGAGCAAATAATATGCTCATTGCTGTTGAAGAAGTAATCTATCCTTTGATGTTGATGACCAATAAAAACATTTAAGATAACACTTCAAAATATAGTAATCATACCAGTGATATTTCAGTTTCTCTAACTCTCATCATTTTCATGCAATTACTCTGAAATGAAGTGACTAACTACATAGGAGATACACATTTCACAGCATAAACTATCACGTAGGTATGCAGTTAATTTGCTCTTTTCAATTATGTGTCTTTTCCCTTAGATATTCACTAATTAGATTAATGACCAATTTAGATAGCATTTGGTAGTGTAATTTGATTATGACAGGCAGGCATTTATCAGGATGAATCTTTCCCTTTTGCCAAGTAGAAGATGCCATTGTAATTATGCCAGCACACAACACAGATGTAAGTATTTCTAGGACGTGGGTGTACACTATCACTAAGAATATAATTGCTGGAACATTAAAACACAGGTTGGGAAAGTTACTTTACAGTGAAGCTGCAGATTCTGGAAGGTATAGCTTTAAAAACCCTCCCAAGCTCATCACTACAAAGAGAATAACCCCAGACCCACCCAACCCCATGGAGACCTGAAACTGCAGATCATAGTGAACCCTATATTTTGACTGTATTTAGGTCAGAACCAGACCATAGAATAGCAGTGGGGGACCTAGAAAAGCCCCCAAATACATCAGTTTGTTGACCTCTCTTATGTCCTCCAGAGTTATTTTATGGTACACTTCAGCTGGAAACATAGCCAAGCCCATAAACACTTTGGGGGACAATAATGTTGGTGGTGCAGGTAAGTGTCTATATATTTATTTATTTATTTGCTTCATTTCTATACCGCATTTTTCAGCCCTTAACAGGCGAGTCCTTGGATGAGGGGTCATACTGTATTTTATAATCACAACGGATTTTGGACTTCTTGCGTTCTTGTCGTGTTTTTAAAAAAATGCTTTGATGCCAAATATACATGGATTGTCATCTTTCTATAAATATGTCAAGAACACTAAAAGTAAGACCACATATGAGTCTAATGGTGATGGTGATTTGACAGACAGATAAGGCTCTTGCCCTGAGTTATTGCTCATAGAATGATGTCTTAATTATCTTTGCTTTTCTTGTTTAATTAAAGTCATGTCTACAAATCCATGGAACTGATATGATCTACTAGAATGTTTGGGGGTTTTTTTGTTTGTTTTGGTTTGGTTTGGTTATTTTTTTTTTTTGCAATTTCAGAAGTATCAGACCATGTCAGTTCCACAAGATGGCTGAAAAGAAAGCATTATCTTGAGTCTTTTTTGTGTGCTTCAGTCTCCGTGTACTTATTGTAGTTCTAGTAAGTGTTCCAGTCACCATGGCAAATAAATCCTAAGAAAAATTGTTCACAAACTATTTTCCCCTGTAGTAAATCTATTTGCAAAAGTGTTGTACTCAATCAATAATCCCATTATCAGTTGGTCTGCTTTATTAAGAAAGCTGCTCAGATCCGAAGTAATAGGCAGAGTAGAGGCTGAAAATATTGAAGCGAGAACCAAACACTGGAGACTGGCTATGGAATTATTCAAATAACAACCTACATATGATATCAATGGAGATCCCCAGAAAGACCAAAGGGCACATTGTTTCTGTTTTTACATTATGTTAATAAAATAGCAAAGAAATTAATGCATTGACATGGGTGGCAATTGGTTTTTTACTCTTTGTTCTAAAGGATACTGATTTTCTTTCATTATTTTATGTTTATTTTTAGAACTGGTTTCTGGATACTTTAGACAGCAGCGGAAATCTCTTGAAGTAGTTGATTGGTCCTATTCAGGTAAGTTTCTTCTGTAATATTTCATAATATTTTGATGTTACAAATATTGATGGGCAAAGCAAAATGAAACAACTTAAAGAGTACTCCCACAAAGACCAAATCTTAGAGATATTTGAAGGTCAGGGAGTGTTCATGGAAGGATATGCTTATTCAGCTCTAGGAAAAATTGATTTTTTTCTCTAGTTGGCTGAGCATTTTCACTCCTAGATGCCCTTGCAACCTAAAAGCATCCAGAAGATAATGAGTCCCTGGACAAGAAGGAGGAGGGTAAAATTGTTCATTTCTCAAGCAACATTCTTTATGGAAAATCAATGAAGAAAATTCTAGAGTTGAATCAGCTTTCCGGCTAAACTCACAATTTTCTGGTGCTTACAGAATTATGGGTTTTTAAAGCATTGTCAGCAGACAAACAAACATAAAAGGATTCTACCTGTCACCAATATAGCTATTATTCCATTTTTGCCGCATCTTTTAAATTCAGTTTTCCAGATGAAATCAACTAATTTCCTGTTGGGCTCCTTCCTTAGAATAAAGGTTACAAGGCATTGCCAAAAGCTTTCATAATCATAATCACAGGGTTGCTGTGAGTTTTTCAGGCTGTAAGGCCATGTTCCATTAGCTTTATCTCCTGGCGTTTCATCTGCATCTGCTCCTGGCATTATCAGAGGTTCTGTTGCTAGTGAGGCAAGTGTTGTGTATATATATCTGTGAAATGTCCAGGGTGGAAGAAAAAAAACCCTTGTCTGTTTGAAGCAAGTGTGAATGTTGCAATTGTTGATTAGCATTAAGTTACCTTGCAGTTACAAAGCCAGTCAGTGAAGGTATTTGCATGGAGGTAGCTTAGCTGTTGTGCCTGGAGGCATCTTTGGTTTGGGAGGTGCTAAATGGCACTTTATTTTTTTGTCTGGAATTCCCCTGTTTTAGAGTGGTGTTCTTTATTTACTGACTTGATTCTGGTGTTTCCAAGATGAATTGAACCACCTAAACTGAGCTCTGCAGACCAATGGGTATTCCACAACAAACATCAGGAGAGCTGCAAGACCAAAAACAAGCCACAAGAGTAAAGACAAAGATCCACCTAGAGGAGAAGTATTCTTACCATACACAGGGGAACCACTAACCACATAGGGAAGCTGATGAAGAAATGTAACCTACAAACAATCTACAGACTCACTAAGAAAATTCAACAAATGCTATGTTCAGCAAAGGACAAGAGGGATCCTCTCACCTCTGTAGAAATCTACCGTATATCATGCAGCTGTGGACAAACCTACATAGGGACCACCAAATGCAGCCCCCAAACACATATAAAGAAAACAGAAAGGCATTGCAAATTAATACAACCAGAAAAGTCAGCTATAGTAGAGCACTTGTTGAACCAACCTGGACAGAGAATATTATTTGAGAACATAGAAATGCTGGACCACTCTTGCCAACAATCATGTCAGAATACAGAGAAGTCATTGAAATCCACAAGTATGTGTACAGGTTCAACAGAAAGAAGAAAACCATAAAAATGAACAATATCTGGTTGCTAGTATTTTAAAACACCAGAATCAAGACAGTAAATAAAGAACACGACTCAGAAACAAGAGAATTCAAGACAGCAAACAACCAAGTGCCACTTATTCCAAAGTAACAGCAAAACCTATTGTATTACATTGTTCCTCTTCTGTTGTTCTCCTATTGGAAGATCATTGGAAAACATTTCTTCTACAAAAGGAGGTCATTATTTTTTTATGTATGGGTTTGTTTGTAAAATAAGTGTTTTCCAAATGGTCTCCCACTAGCAGAACAAGAGAAAGGGAACAATGTCATGTGATATGTTCATGCCAAATATTATCCTGCTATAATTGTGATTTACTTGCCTTGTGTGATAAGTTCCAATGACTTATCATGATGGTCAAACCTACTTTTTTCAATGTGGCATCACCCCAGCCAGAGAGTCTCCAAAGGACTAAAGATCAGGGCACTGAGAAATTGTATCTGCAGTGCTTTCTTAGTCCCAAGGTGCATTGAAATAAGCCGTTCAGGATGCCAGGAGATCTCTCCAGTTGCCTTTTCATATTTGACTCCATGATTAGAAAATCACTGCAGATATCATATCCCAGCACCTCAGAAATCCTTAGGATGATATACTAGCAAGCTTAAAAGGAAGAGGTTGGGAGTGTATTGGAAGTTTTGAAAATAATATCTAAGATTCTGTATTGCATTATATAACTATAATGATGGAGCTCCACTGTTATAATTACATCTAATAGCAACAGTGGGCTCTATCATCATCGTTACATTTTACAATACTGGATCTTGTACATTATTTTCACAACTTTTAAGTTTATAAAATTAAATCACTGTTATTATGTTTGCATTTGTGTATACAAAAGGCAAAAATTGTGTTATAAAAACTGAAAGTTTGATGGTGTGCATGGAAAATTTAATAATTAGTTATAATCCAGGACAAGTGAGATCCGGTTGGTGGGCCTGGTCTAATCGCCAGAATCTCCCTCTTTATTTTCATCTCTTGGGTTCAGCCACACTTGGCAGATGTTGACAGAACCTTGGTTTTATTTGCAGAAATCAAGTACACGTTGACTGGATCAGTATTTATAATCATTGTAGAGACTCATATAATGGAGTCCAGTGTAGTTAAACTGCATTATATGAGTCTACAACACTAATCATATAATGCAGTTTCAAATTGCAACATATGATAGTGTAGATGGGGCCCAATCTCCTCCTGTCTCAGGGATTCACCATGTTTCCCCATCTGCTATAGCATCTGACTTAGTAGACCAAACCACCATCTTGCAAAGAAAGGTAGTCTGTTTTACTGTTCCTGAAAACGTCCGCTTTTTAAAAAAGAATAGCTTCTTTAAAAAGTAATTAAATCTCACAATTTTGAGCAAGTTCAGTTCTAGATATTTCTAGAAGCGCTGAAATAGTTTATGGGACACATACTTCTCAATCTGCCTGCCTGCTTTTTATTTTTCATGCATACAAGCATGGAAGATGATCTTTCTGAAGAATTCTTGGAGACAGGCCATGTGCGAGATATCAACATGCATTTGCAAAAGGACAAGATTTCCCTTAGGGTTGCACAAAGCAAGTAGGCTTTGCAGGCCTTTTCTAGCTTTTTTCCTTCTGTAGCACCTGCTGATGTCTTTCCTCTCTTTCCTTGGATGATATTCATGGGAATGGACTTTTCTTGTTAATCATTTCTAAATGATTAAATTCTCACTTAAGCTGGCTCAGCAAAACAGTTAAGATAAAAGCTCTGGCATTCTACTGTTAAGGAATGCAATTTATTTGTCACAAGTCTTCACTAATAATACTTTCGAGTGTGCTTTTACAGTTTTGCTTTGTATAAGAATCCTTATAGCTATCAAAATAATATTTTACAAATTGGATGAATAAATCTACAAATGTAGACTACTAATAATTATATTGTTATTAAAGTATTTTTTACCATAAATCATATCAGGTTGGTGTGAAATTAAGATTTTAATATTGGGTGAGAAATAAGTTATTTTATAATTAAGAAACCAGGGTCAAAGATTATTATATCTAATTGATAACCTTTAAGGCCCACAGTACTTATAATGCATGTTCTTCTGCATATGCCATTTAAGGAGGTATAGTGTTTGCTCCAGATCATGGTACAATAAAGAGGACACAAATGCATGAGACTCAATTGCTATAGAATGTATATTTAAATGTGAGAAATCTTGCTCAATAGCTTACAGAACAGTGTGAATAATTGTTTTCCTTTTGGCCATATGTGTTTGATTTCATTTACCTCCCATGAGAAGACTGAAAAAACTCATTGCTTTTGTTCACCTGGAGAAATGATATACAGCACTAAGAATTCTCTGCAATATGCAAGGTGCTGATTTAGGAGCAGATTTACCAAAATGAATATTATACCTTATAATGTTCTCATGTATGCATTTTTTTCTTTTTAGTATTTTAAAGTTTGATCTCTTTTTTGCTGTAATTTCATATTCTATGTAATTATTTGAATTCTGTAGTTTTTAAAAAGAAACATTGAATAGATGCTTTAAGAAATGTGATAATTGAAAAAAGAATTTGTGGGGGAAAGAAGCAGTAATGTTTCCTGGACCGAGACTTGACTGTGATAATTAAATCTATCCACATGCATTTTAATGTGGAATTTTAATTTTAGCCCCAGAGAAATTCAATTATTATTTTCAGTAATCAAAGGCCTGATTTAAAATATCATCTCTGGGACCTATTGAAACTCCATGCTGCTGAAGTGATTTGTAATGTATAGTCTGGTTTATTTTTCATGCAACCACTGCTATGACATAAAGTATTATAGTGATGTTCACCAAGTTAACCAGGAGTCCTAAGAAATAGTATAATAGTGGTGTTTTACTATCTATTCTGTAAGAAAACATCTTGATCAAATGGGGACATGAATGCAAGTCTCTCAGTCCAAGTCTAACACTCTTATCAAAATATTTCACAGTGGCTTTCCAGGACACCTAATAATGTAATTACCTTTTCTAGATGTGTAAATCACTAACAGCCGAAATGCCCATGTAGTAATGCAGCATGCAAGTGACTTTATTAACATATAACATTGTCTTTCTTCTTTCTGTTGTATTGTTTCATCTGCACTAGTAGAAATTATAGCACTATATAACAAACCATTTTGATGTAAAATTATGAAGTCATTTAAGAAAAAAATTGGTAACATTTCTGTTGTTTGTGTGTTTTGACTGTACTGTGACCAGCCTCGAGCCACGAGGACAGTCAGATAAAAAATAAAATTATTATTATGTATTATTATTTAATACTTTTAGCAGGTAATTTGGGCATTATTTATTTATTTACAACATCTATATGCTGCCCTTCTCACCCTGAAGGGGACTCAGAGCAGTTTAATATGTACACACATACAATATATTATATTATTAGCATAGTACAATATCAGTATTATACATTACTATATTGTACTAAACCATTATATTGCAATA